AGGCAAAGAGCTGTCTTTTGTTATGCTAACCTGTTAAGCACCATGTCCACAGATCTGAACAGGAACAGTAGCGCATCATGTTTATTGGTAGTAACTAAAAATGGCAAGGGAGTTAACTTTGATGATTCATTGAAATTCTCTTCGGGTTCAAAAGGTGGGCCATGGATTGGAGAGGAAAACAATTGGGAGAAAGGCCCATTTGACACAGTGAGCCTAAGGGTAATTGTTGCTATTTTGAGGTGGGATACAACTGCATATTGGCAAAATTAGGTGTGTGGTTATAGCGGATTGTGAGCCCTTGTGCCACAAACCAGCTTCCCCAAAAGATCAGACTTTTGTGTGTACGTGCAATAATGCTTATTCAAATGAGCCACCATAGCCACTAGAGGGCTGTGAAAATTTGTGCCCTGGGCTTTTCAGACAGCCCAGGCATTATTTCAGACATTATTTATGGCACTGTTTCTCAAACTTTCCTCGTAAGGCTGTAGTTCAGTGGTAGAGCACATGCTTGCATCCAGAAGTCCCAGGTTCAATTCCTGTAATTAAGAAGATTACATGCTCCCTGCTGGAAGAGCATCCCATTCTCACAGACCAATTAGATAATAGAATAATAATAATAATAATAATAATAATAGAATAGTAGACAGCATCTTAAAAAGCAGAGACATCACCTTGCCAACAAAGGTCCGTCTAGTTAAAGCTATGATTTTCCCAGTAGTCATGTAAGGAAGTGAGAGCTGGACCCTAAAGAAGGCTGATCGCCAAAGAATTGATGCTTCTGAATTATGGTGCTGGAGGAGACTCTTGAGAGTCCCATGGACTGCAAGAAGATCAAACCTATCCATTCTGAAAGAAATCAGCCCTGAGTGCTCACTGGAAGGACAGATCCTGAAGCTGAGGCTCCAATACTTTGGCCACCTCATGAGAAGAGAAGACTCCCTGGAAAAGACCCTGATGTTGGGAAAGATACAAGGAGAAGGGGACGACAGAGGATGAGATGGTTGGACAGTGTTCTCGAAGCTACCAGCATGAGCTTGACCAAACTGTGGGAGGCAGTGGAAGACAGGAGTGCCTGGCGTGCTCTGGTCCATTGGGTCATGAAGAGTCAGACACGACTAAACAAAAGAGCTGGAAGGGACCCTGAGGATCATCTATTCTAGTCCAAACCCCTGCAATGCAGGAATATGCAGCTCCATGAGGCGGACTGAGGCAGCTGCCTCGGGCGGCAGAACACCAAGAGCAGGGGCCCTGTCCCTCCCCACCTCCTTGGCCGCTGGTGGAGGAGTGGTGGCAGCAGCAGCAGCGTCTTCAAGGTCTCACAAGATCTCGCCAAAATCTCGCAAGCTCTCACTGAAATCTCACAGGATCTTGTGCATGCCGTGAGATGTTGCAAAAGCCCTGCAAGATCTCACCAGAACCCACCCTCGCTGCTGTGTGACCCAGAGAAGGGAGCCTTTAGTGACAGCAGGAGGGCACCTTCCCATTTGACCTCAAGTAGCAGAACAGGATGCTTCCCAATTGTGATTCCCAGTAGCTGGCATTCTGGAGAAGGAACATAACCTTCGGGGGTAGTAGGCATTGATAGCTTTATCCTTCATGAATTTGTCCAATCCTCTTTTAAAGCCCTACTGCTGCTTTAATGGGAAGGATTTTTTTTTTACTTTTTTCAGGGGAAATGTGCTTTTGGGATTGGTGTAGGGAAGATCTAGGAATTCTTTTGTGGCTTGGATTTTAATCTGATAATTGTAGGTCTTCAAAAGGTTACCTCCGCTATCTTGTGCTTGGGGAACTAGATGTGTTGTGCATATACAAACCCTACCAAATTCTGACCACTGCTCCTGTTAGGCGGTAAGGAGGGATTTATGAGGCAGGGCCAAATTTCCTGCAGCTAGAACAGGATTCCTAACCAACAGAGAATAAATGAGGCAGGCAGCCAAGCAAATAAATAAGTAAAACTAGTTATGTGACACACTTTGAGTCTGTTTAAATTAGGTATTATTATTTTTTACGTATTTACAAGTACATGAGCACTTAGGCACCGATATGCTTTGCAGTGAAAATATGGTCATCAAATTAATCAAGGACACTGAACAATCAAGTCCGAACTAACAGACAAACATTTCAATTACTTGGGGATCATATAAAACAGCAGACATCAACATGAATTTCCTGCAAGCAATGACAAGGAAGAAAATCTCAAGTTTCCCATTTGCGAAATGGCTCGAGGGCTGCAAATTAACTTTGCATGCTAATCATTTAATGAACAGCGAGCAACCTGGGAAGACGATTGTAAGTGCTGGTCCCATAAATCACGTCTCGTTCCATTTTGTTTGAAGAAGCCAAACAAATGCTTGATGTGCATCTGTGCAGATACTGTATACACAGTGGACCAAGCCCAAAATCACAAGCACTCTAAATTCCATCAGCTTCAAATCTGAATCAATATTTAGTGACACGGGCCTGTTACTGATGGTCACAGAAAATGACTTCCCAGAGATTATATGCAGGATTAAGTCAAAGAAATTCCCAAGCGTGGCCTTTATCCTTCTGCACCATCCTGTGTCAGATACAGGCAAATCTTTGCTGTTATCATACTAACTTCCCAGCCTTGTTTGGCCGAAAAGATTAAATGGAAAAGCAGTGTAAATGACGCACAGTATTAATGCAGTATTAATATCAGCCTATCAACTGTTCCGCAGTCGTAAAAATTAATATTTAATCTTTGGCTGTATTCTAACAGTGATCTGAAATAACCTTTAACGAATTAAAGCTATAATCCATCCTATAAGCACTTATATAAGGATAAATCTCATTCAACAGCATTTGAAGTACACATGTATAGGATTGCATTGCTTGCTTTCAATGGTTTATGACAGTAGGGGGATAACCTGCCAGAAGTTGCAGAACTACAACACCCATCATTCCTAGCTATTGGCCTTGTTCGCTGGGGCTGATGGACATTGTAGTTCAGCAGCATCTGGAGGGCCAAAGCTTCCCTACATCTGCTATATATGTACATATACATACAGGGCAAGCCTATAGATGTCTGCTCAGAAGTAAGTCCCATTGACTTCAGTGGGACTTTCTCCTAGGGAAGGGGGTATAGGATTGCAGCCTTACCTGGAAGTAAGCCCCACTGAACACCAGGAGGCTTTCTCTGGAGTCAGCATACCTATGCAAATGAATTTTTGTTGTTTTTGATTAAAAATGCAATAGGATCCAATGTAACCATTTCATTTTAATGGTCAACATTGGGGCCTCCCCCTGCATTTCCTTGGGTTTGTGCCTGCTTGTGGAATTGTGACTTTCTGACTGCTTCAAAAAGAGTTGCACATTAAGTATACAACGTGGGAAGATTCTGCTATGATGGAGGCTACAGTTGTATGCACACTTAATCTAGGAAATGAACACAGTAGGACTTGGTCCTGCATAAGCATACATAGCAGTGGGATGCAAGTCCCATGGAAAACAGTTGAATGGGATTTGCATAGGGGTGCTGTGGAAATTTAATCAGAGGTAATCTCTTTCAAGATGGGTGTGAGCCAACGTAACACAAGTGTGCATTGGCTAGGGCAGTGTGGCTTCTCCTCACAGCAGGACTGTGTGATTTGCATGCAAAAGGTCCCATGGTCTGTCCCCTCCTTCTCCTGGTAGGGCTGTGACACACACACCTGAAACCCTGGAAAGCCACTGCCAGTCAATAGGCCCAATACTGAGTTAGATTGACCTGAGTTAGAAGGCAGTGCAGCTGCCCCTTCCACAAAATCTGCCCTCAATTGGGTGGGGGTGCAATCTCTGGAGCAGATTTTGGGGTCATGTGGGAGTTCTAGGGAGATGGTCCCTGCTATCTCCAGGTGCAGCAGGGACCAGAGGTCCTGTTGTGCAAACAGAAAGCAGGCAGACATTGGATACTGCCCAAGGATGTTTGCTTCCACATGTAAGCTTGGAACTCAATGGGACTTATTTCTGAGCAGACAAGCAAATCCTTAGTGGGAGGTAGCAGTAGCATTGCTGGCTTGGACGAGGACCCTAACCTTAGACTCCCTCAGCTCATTTCTGCTGCACCTGGAGAACAGCTTCCTATTGGCCAACCAGCCACACCCATGAAGAGCAAGAACTTTGCTACAGCTGTAATGAGTTTCCTGCAGAAAGCCTATTTATTCTGAGGCCATGATAGGCTGGTGAAGGCTAGTCTTAGGCTCCCCAGTCTTTCCTCGCTAGACCTTAGGACGGCAACATGTTGGAGAAACCAGGTTTGGTAGGTTGGTTAGACTTCCCACTGAAGAGCAAGAAGGTTGCCACAGTTGGTTGTGGGTTGTTTCTGGGGGTGCATGGAGGGTAGTTGCCACTGCCCCTTTGGGCTGAGGTTAAAGGCACACCTCATGAGGGGTTGCCTGTGAGCGGGCTTGCTCCTAGTGAGAGACTGGAATGGATAGGGTGAGATATTATTTCCCCTAAGTACCAAGAGCAAGGTGGAAAGCTGGGGAGCTGCTGTGTGATGAAAGCATGACTGCAGCTCGGGAGTGGGATTGGTGGGTGTTCCAGCACCTCTTTTTCTAGAAAAATAGCACTAGATGTAAAGAGTACTGCAAGGGTTTGGAAAACCTAGCTATTCAAGTGTCAGTGGAGCATGTTGCTATAACAGCTTAAAATCCACATTTCCAGTTACTTTTGTAGTTTGTAAACTGGTATGCAAAGGGGAGGCACAAACCACTGAAAACCAAGCACTTATCTGGCATAGTTCTCACTGAAGATAGATAAACCATTTCTAGGCTGTAATGCAAAATTGTGTGTGTGTGTGTGTGTGTGTGTCCGTGTGCGAGAGATTTATGAAGACGAGAGAGCCTGCAACTCATGTGCCACGTGCATATGACCAGGCTGCAATGAAGACAACAGCTATCCCATTACTTCAGAACATGCATGTATTTCAGAGGAGCTGGGTCGCCATGCTTTTCTAAAATAATGTGGCATGTGAATATAGGTTAAAGCTGAACTCATGGGCCAAATTTATTTGACAGTAAGCTCTACTGAAGCAGACAGGCGTTAATTTCACATATAGGCACTTGCAGCGGAGGCATAAGTCTGGATCACCACATCAACAGAACAAGGGCACCACCTCCAGGCCATTGGAGAATTAAGCTATTTAAATTCTATCCAATGTTTTGGATTAACGAAAGAGATCAAAAGTGGCTTCATACATTCATCACAAGGTGTGGAAAAGACAAAAAGGCATACAAGACTATTTACACTTCTGCTTTTAATAACATGTTGCTTCATCCAAAGAGTATGTATGCATCCTGACATCTGAAGTCCATAGATCTCCCTGCCTGGGAAATTTATGACCTTCCTTCAGACGTAAGAACTCATGTACAACCATATTTAATGTATAAAACCTCTCATGAGAAATGAGTCTTTAAACAAAAGGCTACCTGTAAATCCTTTTCCTCCAGTCAAATTTTGATATCTACTCCGTTCTGTGCGGATGTCCTGGAACACATTACATACTTGGCTCTCTTTTTAACATTTTTCATTAAACAATGTAACATTTCAGAAAACTTTGCAGGGGGAGTAATTCAGCTAATTAGAAGGAACAGATATTGCGCTAGGTGCAACATTATGCTTGTAAAAATCCAACTATTATACACACCTAAATTTAGAGACTCAAAGTGAGGGTTTTTTTCTTCTTCTGATGCAGCAGAATCACTTCCTTAAATCTTATATCCAGTGTTGTGCTATTTGTTAAAATCACATCGTAATCATTAAAAAAAAAAATCTAGCTAACCACGCCATGAATATTTATATTTAAAACTGGCCTAGCAATGCAACACTAGCAAGGCAAATGCATAAGAATGCAAACTCTAAGGAAAAGAGTTATTCGCACACAACCACACAATTATTTACATTTATTTACATAGAGTTTAAAAGACTATTTTAACACCTTTTCTAAAAACATCCTACGCAGCTTTTCATCATACACGCCACAAGAAACATCAGCTTAAATGGCACTACTGAAAACATCACAGTTCTGTACACGATACACACAAATATTCAGCGCATTCCGAGAAGCTGGCGGCTTTTGAGCTGGTAGTGTTTCTCCAGCTCACAAAGGGCTTGAGCCCGCAGGTTGGCAGCGTAGAGACGCTTCTTCAGATTACAACCTTTTTCTTTCGAGAGGGGGAAATTCTCCAGGCTGTCCTCAGACTGAGCATTTTCTTTGCTTTCGTCACCAAACTGAACCTTCTTTTTTCTCGTAGGAAAGACTGGCAGCGCTTCGTCATCTTTAAAAAAACAGAAAGATGCTTTTCAAATACTTAACTCTTGCTCACTGAATATTAGTTTATTCTTTACTCTGGGGGTGGATAACCTCTGGCTCTCTGATGTTGTTGGGACTCCCGACTCCCGCCGTTCCGTAATGGCCATTCCATGGAGTTGGAGTCTGACAATGTCTGGTGAGCCAGAGATCAGCCACCCCTAGTTCACTTCCTTCCATTTTGAGTTTTCAGCAAAGGTTGCAAGTGTTCATACCCCTCTACAAGGCAAAATTTTGATTACACTGAAGGTTCACAGTTGCCACACTCCTTGTAAGATAAAAAAATTCATCAATATCACTGCCTTTGGGGGGGGAGTGTGTGTACCATGCTAGTTACATGGGCAAAGGTGTTCAGTAGTAGTAATAATACTAATAATAATTACTACTATTTATACCCTGCACATCTGGCTGGGTTCAGTACTCTTATAGGGCTTATCTGGGAGAATGTGCCTTCTAGACTGTGTACACATTATTGTGAAGGGAAGGATTATCATATAGAGATCTTCTGTGTGTGAAAGAAAGACAGAAATAAATCTCGTTTGCCTTAGGAAACTCAGAATAGGGTTTTGGGGGAGAGCCAACGGATGAAAAGCCTTGTTTCTTACTTTTAATTCACCTCTGAAGGACAATATTGGTCAATGCACTTTTATTTTATAAAACTGAAGCAATTTGAAAGTATGAACCAGTTTAAAACCATGTCAAGTGGGTGCAGCATAAACATGCTTAGTTGAAGAAGCTAAATTTCATGTGTGGCAATTGTTTATACACAGGAAATTGGCAAGTGAGCACTTTTCATCATGCATATATTCTCCTTACACCCACAGTATATAACACTGCTCCTTTACTGAGTTTTAGTGTTATGTGTTTTTATTATTTTACACTGCACAGGAAGCTACATGTTCCATACAAAAGGGTGGTTTCACTGAATGATTTTATTACATGCTTATGCTCTTCGTAGTAACTCAGGCCACATCCACCAATACATTTAAAGCAGTATCAGACCACTTTAACAGTCATGACTTCCCCCAAAGAATTCTGGGAACTGTAGTTTGCTAAGGATGCTGAGTTGTTAGGTGATCCCTATTCCTCTACCAGAATTCCAATTCTCAAAGTGGTTGACCAATCAACTGTTCCTCCCACAGGACTCTGAAAATTGTAGCTATGGAAGGGGAGCGGGGGGGGTGTGTGTGTGTCTCCTAACACCTCTTAGCATCCTTAACAAGCTACAACTTCTAAGATTGCTTGGAGGAAGCCATGACTTTTAAAGTGGCATCATAGCGTTTTAAATGTATGGTGCAGACATGGTCTCAGACTGAATATCCCCATGGTCACAGCCAGCTTGGGAGACAGTTTATGCCAAGAGAAATTGGCCCACGATTACTTAGCAAATTTTGTAGCCGAGGAAGGATTTGAATGCAGGTCTCCCTGTTCTAAGAGCCAGAAGTCTAGCAACATCTGGAGGTTCCCCATCCTTGATCTAAGAGCAATGATTAATCATGGTATAAGTATCCCAAGCTCAGTCTTCAATTTGGAAACAGATTTCTTCTCCATTGGTCAAGGGAAGTGTCAGATGTCAGCAATGATGGGCAGCTGCCAATGCCCATGTCTAAGGAGAGCACCCCACTGCCAATGCGTGGAAGCCTCAGGCCCACCTTCAGCTGTCATCTCCTAATAATGATGCAACAAGGAGAGCCAACATCCACTGACTTCATCCTCTTCTTCTGGGAAACTGAGGGAGAGGTCAGTAATTTGGCAGTTTTGAAGGAGTGTCTAGACCCTGGAAGTAGCACTGACGCTGCTTATCAACTGATGGACATAACCTAAGATTCTACTGGAAGCAGCAGCAATAATATTTTTATTTGTTCAAGTCATGAGAGAACTGAGGAAAATTGGGCAACTAAAAGAACACAGCTAAAAATGAAAAACGGCCCAACTTTCCTTGAGTTAGGTAAAAGCAGTCGTCTCCAATCTATTGCCCTCCAGATGTTTTGAACAACTTATCAGTTGCCAGCAGCATAGTCAGAGATGATGAAGTTATAGTCCAACACTCCTAGTGAACAGCAGGTAGGAGAAGGTCCCAACTCTGAAGATACTGAATGCTACTTGCTCTCATGTCTGTTCCAGAACTTGGGAATGCACTGCCAATCTGTGGCTACACCATTGTATTTGTCTTTATCCCCAGCCAACCAAACCCCAAGTGCATGCCATTGTATTGTTTTCTCCCACTTATCCATCCCTTCTCTGACCTACCTTGGACAATGTACCATTTACATTGATAGTGTGGGGATATATATATAACAAGCCCACAAAATGTTCAGCTTCAAAACCCATTCATCCGTGGTATGTTAGCCCACTTCAACTGCAGCATATATCTAAAACCTGAAAGTAATCCCTGCACTATATGTCATGGAACCATATCTCGATTTTGGGTACATATTCTAGACAATAGCTAAAGATCAATAATATAGCTGTCTTTACTATGCCTCTTTTTCTGAGGAGTCACTGGGCCTCCTTTGCACATCATAGTAAACCATAGTTAATGGTTTGTCATGAGCATGCTGCTCCGTGGCACTTTGCTCCTTGATGCTAGAAAACAGGAGAAACAGATCGTGTTCTTTAGCTTAGCATTATGCTAAGACAGATGTTGTCTGCTTAGCTCCAAGAAACACAGGATTAGTAAGCCAAGAACAAACTTAACTACAGATCTTGACTTCCTAGGAGTGAAACAAACTATGATGCCTGACTTGAACCTAACACTAATTGTGGAATTGTGGAAGCGCAAGTGGAGAGCAGCTTGCTCATAGCAAACCATTAACTGTGGTTTACTGTGATTCACAAGCTGGACCAATATCACAAAGAATTGCCTGAATGTAGAAGTAGATATTCAAAGAGGCAGACTTGTGTGTTGAACTGTAAACAAATAAAAAGGCTGCTTGTGTTTTGCTAGTCTGTGGCAGCCATTTGCCAGAAACCATGGGCGGGGTGGGGGTAAGATTCGACAAATAAGAGCATTTTTCTTTCCTTGTTTGCCTTTTGCAAGGTTTCAGAGAGCTTTGTTGTCATTTTAGGGTCAGAATTCCATGGTTGGCAACACTTTAGAATTCCCTCCCCCCAAGAATCTATGGCAATCATTGACCAATTACATAAACAGTCACCTAACAAATGATTTCCTGAATACACATTGTGTTTGGATAGTGAGACTGGTGTGTATACAGCTTTGCTTACCATGAATGGTGGTAATTTAGCCAAGCAATTTCTCACATCAAAAGTATATTAAAAAGGTGACTAGTGGGCATGCAGAATTAGATATTTTGTAAGGGGGATTCTTGTGTTAAAAGAGCCCACTAGTCAGGATTCCTTTACAATAGTTTTGAATAGACTTTAATACCTCATTGTAAGGCACTGTAGATTACCTTTTTGATACAGCTTAACTGCAATGCTTTCAGAGTTCTTTGGCCACAGGAGATGTGAAGGCCCAGAAAACACTGGGCAAATTCAGCAAGCCCACCTTTCAAGGACTTTCAATACCCCCAACGAAAAATTACATATTTTAATGATAAGTAAAACCATACATGACATAGAATACAGCCTGCATATGGAATAATAAAAGGCTTATATGCAAGAGCTGTATTATTACAGGACAGCATCCAGCTAGGTAATATTCTGAATGTACTCCCTGAAATCAATGAACTTTGGTCCATTAGTTTCAAAGGGGTATCACCCAGATAATGCAATTGTTAAATTATTACTCAAGTCAAGTGGGTTTGCCCAGTGAAGCAGGTCCCTTAGAACACAGAGCTGGAGTGAAAAATATATATATATTTTTTGCAGAAGCTTCATTTTGATTGGAAGACTACAAAGAAGTTCACTTCCTGAAGATGCTTTGATATCACACCATTCCTTTTTGATAAGTCATATAAATAAGAATTCTATCATCATTTAAGTTTGTGGTGATAAGCGAAGACTTGTCTGTGATTTTGAAGGAAAAGCCATTATCCACAAGGAAAAATGGTATTTTAAAGAGGCTACATTATTCGCTGGATTTCTTTACTAGGACTATTGCTCAAACAGCAACATACTAGAATTTGGGTTTTGCGTTGACTAGACACCCCTTGGCAGTTACTCTGGTAGGCTTCTGGAAGTCCACACCTAGCTGCATGGGGTTTTAGGCTTCTGTTTATTATTTATGAGGCCACTCATGCTGCCTGACAAACAGCTTTTGAAATAAAGAGGTGGGGTCCCAAAGAAAAGTCAAGTTTAAAGAAAAAAATCAAGCTGCATCAGTTCATGGTATCCCAGGCTATATTCCTAGAAAACAGCATAGAACCTAGAAGTGCAGTGTTTTAAAGCAAGATATATGAAAATTGACTAGACTACAGTCAAAGAAAAGCTACCTGTATTTTGGCTGCTTTTGAATGAGGCTTAAATCCCCATCTAGTTTGGATATGTACAGCCCATTCTAAATGGCCTCCAAGAACAAAAACCTACTAACTAGTAAGTCACCATCATATAAACCCCAAGTTAGCCTAAATTAGCCTCTTTGCACAGCCATTTACAAAATGGTAAGTTAAAATATATTTTATTTCAGGATTAGCTTTATAGAGTTCAAGCAAGCCAAAATTGGCTCCAAATTGCAAACATATAAGACGACAGAGGTATAATGCACACACATAGATCTGGCACTAGAAAGTGACAGCTGAATTATAGAAAATATTCATTGAAGTCATGGTGCCTCCCATTTTGGGTAGCAGTGGTATCTAAACTAGGCTTAGCAGTTAAGTAGCAGAGGCAAAGAGAAGCAGAGAGGTTTAGGTTGTCCAACTCTTCATTTGTCTGAGTGGCAAAGATGTCAAACACCTCTGCCCCTGACCAAACCTTCAAGAAATTCACAGTATACAGCATTTCAGAAGCCTCCTCTTAAAGTCATGGTTTACCATACAGATGAGGAGCATCAACAGCTTGAAGTATCCAGCATTTACTACTGGCAAAGGGAAGTAACACCACAGTGGGCCTCAATCTGGCCCCTTCATACACATATTAAGCCCACCCTAAGCTGCTGCCAGTATTAAAACATACTGGAGCCGCCAGGAAAGCTGACTTAATATCCACCATAGAAGCAGCATTACTAGAGAGGTCACTAGTACTAAGGCTGGTAGCATCTGGGGATTCCTGGTTTAGCAGTCCGTTAAGAGCTTCCAACATCTTCTCCTACCTGGGCATGTCGCTGGCTGCAATAGCTTCTGGTCCTTGAATAAGTTGTAATTCTTCACCATGTTCTCAGCCCTGTTTAGAAAGGAGCTGGTTAATAAAAGAAAAGCCTTTTTCAAAACAAGACACTTTTAGACATTTTAAAACCAACCTAGCCAGTTTTTCTTCTGCCAGTCTCTCCCGAACACACAGTTCCCGCTCTCTCTCTGGAACAAAAGACAAGCCATGTTATCCAATTGCAAACAGTGTGCACCTATGACAGCTTTTTATTCTGACCAGTAAATGGCCCATGGGGAAAGCAGCATGCAACCTGCATAGTATGTGAAGTCCCTCTGCTTCTATGAACAGAGTCCTTGGCTTATTATAAAAGGATAAACAAGATCCATAAGGGAAAACACACGCAAGTACAGTAGTGTCACTGCATCCATGTTTAGACACCATGATTGCACCATGAAACTATTAGTTGAATATATCATCTATTCAGGTGCATACCAAGTTACATATGACTTGACCCTCATTCTTTCCAATTGTGCTGCCACATCATGCATGCAAGAAATGTGATGGGTTGCAGGTGGTGCTGTGGTCTAAACCACCGAGCCTCTTGGGCTTGCCAATTACAAGGTTAGCAGTTCGAATTTGCAAGGCGGGGTGAGCTCCCGCTGCTCTGTCACAGCTCCTGCCAACGTAGTAGTTCGAAAGCATACCAGTGCGAGTAAATAGGTACTGCTGCAGTGGGAAGGTAAACAGTGTTTCCGTGCACCCTGGCTTCTGTCACGGTGTCTTGTTGCACCAGAAGTGGTTTAGCCATGCTGGCCACATGACCCGGAAAGCTATCTGTGAACAAACACTGGCTCTCTTGGCCTGAAAGTGGAGCTGAGCGCTGCACCCCAGTCGAATTCGACTGGACTTAACCGTCCAGGGGTCCTTTACCTTGCAAGAACTGTATTAATGTTTCCTTCATGTCACCGAAAGGATGCATCCCACTCCCCATTGAAGGCACTGCTGGAGCAGGAATCCAACCCCCACATCCCACTGCTGCATTAGTTCTTACGTTCTAGCCTGTGTTCTCTTTCTTTTATGGCTCGCTCCCTCTCTTGTAGCTGCTGCTCTTTCAGTTTCAGCTCATTCACTGGAGTTCCTGAAAGTCTTTCTACTTTATCTTGCTCTCCTGATCGTCGCCCTCTTCTCTCCAAGTTTCTTCCTTGCTCCTCCAATACCAGGCTGGCTATCAGAGGGTTCTGCAGAATTTCTTCAACTGAAGGCCGACAGTAATCCTTGAAATCAGGGAGACTTATTATAGTCACTGTGCAGAAATGTTACATTTAACAAGCCACTGCAAGTTTTTTTCAGGCAGCAGCACATTTGGGGAACAAATTATGTATACATAATTTGTCTGGATTGGGTTTGACTGCAGCCACCTCTGCTGCATCAAAAACTAATATGGAAGGGTCATAAACACTTCCTTCTTTGGGGATATGATAGGCAATAGGCCAAGAATGAGGGCAGAAGCTTCCACCAGCAGCTCGTTGGACACCACCCTTTGTACCCTTGAGAAATCACCCTTACCTTTAGGTGCAGCATCTTTGTGATGAGTTCATTCAGCTGATCTGAATAACGGTATGGGATCCGTCTGAACTTCCCTTCCCTTATCTTTTCTGCCAACTCTTTTTGGTTAAAGGCTGTGAATGGAGGCCTAGAAAGAGTGAACAAACATGCTCTTCCACTTCACCACAGCATCAACTTGAAATGAATTCTTATTTATTTGTTCTTTCTAGAATGTTTTGGTGCCCATGTTTTGATTTAGTTGCTTCTTCTCAAGAGCATGGCTATACTGTGAAATGAGTTTAAATGCTGCCAAATGCCTGCCTAGAAACTTTTGGCTGGTACTATACTTACGACAACGCACACAACTCGTAGAGAAGACATCCTAAAGACCAGATGTCAGATTTCTCATTGTAGGACATGCGATTTATTTGTTCCTAACGGGAGGAAACAGAATATATTAGTACTAAGTGCTTAATAATTAGTTTGCAAATTAGATGAAATGTGGCCACAAAATTGGTTACCAGTATGCATTCTGGAGTATTGCTTTGGAGTTAAGCATTAAAAAACACATAGTAAGTAGCATTCCTTGATGGCAATAACACTTTTAGTGCTAACTCATACTTGCTGCTTACTGTATTTTAGGACTATCAACTTGTCCACCTTTTGACTTGACTGTGTCAATATAACATTGAAAGAGGAAAGTCATATTGGAATTCAAACCTGTCTCCAGCAGTTGGTGTTAAGAGGGTTAAGGTTTGCTTTTCTTAGTGAAATTTACCGTTATTTTTCCCCTTTTCTAGATTCATAAAATTAACAACAATGAATGATACGAAACCAATTAAACAGAGCAGTTTCTAAGCTGCAATTCACTCAAGACTCCCCTTAGGAAGCATATATTAGCATGTTAACATTTAAATATTAAGAAAAGATTGAAGGCTCCAAAATCTGTTAAGGAAGCACATGCAATTAAATTTCCATCACTATGAGTTGACATGTTTTAAGCCCCCTGTTGATTTTAAGTAGGTTTTGCATTTTTTAAAATTACCTGCTTTTAACTTTTCTTATGGACAATTCCAGTGTTGTTCTGTTATTTGTAAACTACACAGTTTTTTATGATCAAGCTGTATATAAATATTGTAAAACAATTGTGTCAATATTTACAAGTTTTACCATAATTTTCCAGCTAAACACAACATTTAAACCAGTGTAATTTATTTAATTCTTCTCTATTAAATATTTCAGTTGTTATTTCTGTTCTCTGAAAGACATTCTGGAGATATTTTATACAGTATACAGCATGGTAAACTTTGACTTGTATTTAGTAGACAAAACAAAACATGCTATATTAGATACCAATTAATTTAAGGAACTGCTGCTGAAAGGTAAGTTAGATCTGGCAATCACAAAGGAAAAATGCTCAAAATCTAAAGCAGTTGCTTTCATCTTGGGATACTTACTGGAGACATATAATATGGTGTGCCAACAAATGTTTTTGCAAAACTGGTATCATGGTGAAGTATCCTGGCCAGGCCAAAGTCACCAAGCTTCACATTCTTCTTGCCGTCAAGGAAGATATTTGCTGGCTTTAGGTCCCGATGAAGCACAGTGTGGCCACCATCACTCCGCCTGTGACACTCCTTCAAAGCCAAGGTCAGCTGAGTGAGGACGCGAAGGACAAAGTTTTCTTCCACATAATGTCTTTTGAAAGAAGAAACAACTGGTTATTTTGAGTACCTTTAAGCCAAAATCCATTCTCTCTCTCAGCCCATTTTCAAATATTCCATTACTTTAGTAAAGAAACTCAAAACATGGGTCTATGCAGATAGAATAGGGGTGAAGCTAAGTAGCTTGAGTCCCCAGGGGCCAAAACTGCACCCCCATTCAACAGGTGTTCCCCAAGTGCAACAATTTTCCCATCCTGTAGAAGTGAATGGTTGCCATTCATTTCTTTGGATAATGTGTTTTGGATATATGTGTTTTGGTCACAAGCATACATGAAAGTAACTGAAAGCTAACTATAATCCCCTGAAAGAATCCCACAAATATTGCCTTGTCTTATTATCTAAATCCCATTTGTCCTTGGTATTATCTCCCTGCTCCCTTGTCCTTTCTGAGGCAGCAATTTCCCAATTATGCTAACAGTGAAGAAAAGAACAGGAGACACTCTTGTTTCTCACTGCCATATTACTGAACCTCTGAAGACCTCCAATACACAGAGCATTTGGAAGAGAGACAGTCTTATCTAAATCTGCATGCATGCCAGACAAGGAATCTCTCCTGCTAGTCATTATCTTATTCAAACTTCCACACAAGTGAGAAAAATCCCCACCTCTTTCCCCAAGTCCAAGAGGCAGACTCTTGTCTCACTTGCACAGCAGTTTAGAGTAGATCAGAATCTAAAGTTGCTGTTTATCTTCTACAAACCTGCATCCAAGAGAGGCATGGCTGCTGCTCCAGGCCCTCTGACAAAGAATTTGGGAGACAGCTTTTTCTAATATTACTCATCCAAGCATGGATCGGGTAAAACTGCAGGTTTTATTTTTATTTTCCCAATGCCAAACTGTAGCTATCTCAAAGGATATTCTATCTCTGGGCAACTACTTGAAAGCCCCCACAATCATTTCATTATTTGCTAGCAGACTAAACTTTTCACCAGTTTTTTTAAACACAGGAAAATGCAGCGCCAAAACAGAAGGATTCCAGCTCAACAAATAAGACATTTTATTTATTTAATTTTATAAAGCCAAGTGCAAGACATTCCAACTTTTAGGTTATTTTACAGAGGGACATGGGTTCCTTATGAGCAAACCGTAAATTGTATTTTTTAAGTCTTAAGTCAAAGATTTTGATGCATTTCAAATTTAGTATATCATGTTGTGTAGGATTATCACACCTATATTGTAGTGCTCACTACTGACAAGGGTGATATCCATGGCTAAGGCCTCTCTCACTGTATATTTCTTTAGTTGCCAGGTCATTTATCTAGAACAGCCAATTTAATGTTTTAAAATGCACAGGACATTGTCCTCATTTCCTTGATACTCTCTTGTAGCTATCCTATTCTAAAGGGGGGAAAACAAACTGAAGTAATAAAAAATAAATAAAAGAATCCACAGGAATATTCTTCCAGAGGATTACAGGGAATAAAGACAACATTTACTAAGTATGTAATTACTTAGGAAAGCGTGCGTGCATGTCCAAGCAAACTGTCATTTTCCCACAAGTAGGCAGTTTGTGTAGTAAGTAATCTTAGTTCGAATCCCCGCAACGGGCTGAGCTCCCGTTGCTCAGTCCCTGCTCCTGCCAACCTAGCAGTTTGAAAGCACGTCAAATTGCAAATAGATAAATAGTACCGCTCTGGCGGGAAGGTAAACAGCGTTTCCGTGCGCTGCTTTGGTTTGCCAGAAGTGGCTTAGTCATGCTGGCCACATGACCCAGAAGCTGTACGCCAGCTCCCTCGGCCAGTAAAGTGAGATGAGCGCCGCAACCCCAGAGTTGTCCATGACTGGACCTAACGGTCAGGGGTCCCTTTACCTTTTTAAAGCAAACTACTTGATTGCCTGTATGGGTTAACATCTTGCCAAGTGGAAAATAAAATTTCATCAGTGTGGTAAAAATTGGCATCTCTGCTCAGCAATAATCTTGCACCCTCAATGACAGTTGGCTCAAAAATTAAAACTCAAAATTTCTGGTTGCTGGCTTAAAATACCTGTAACCTCTCATAACTAATTTAATAACCTACAGCACAAGATAATGTCATGATAATCCAGAAGTTTTACATACCTTTCTTTTGTACATTTTGCAATCAGAGTTGCCAGGTCTCCACCTTCACAGTATTCCATCACAATATAAAGTGTTGTATTTGTCCTGTCAATTATACGGTCATAATACCGGACAATATTTGGATGTTTTAATTCACGAAGCAAGTTCACTTCAGAAACAAGCATCTGTTTTTCAGATTCTGTCATAGATCCATAGTCAAGTTCTTTCCAGACCAAGACCTGAAAAAAAGGAGCAAGCCATCTCTAGACAATAAACATACAAAAAAACGTAAACAATACAAGGATTTTAAAAGCTCAGTGGACTAGCATCTTACTTTAAACCAATATAAATCTCACGCCCGCACCCAACAGCAGCAAACCTGACCTCATCTCCACTGCTTCCACAGAGAGATTCACACCTCATTTTATTAGTGCAAGATTCACTTGTGGTGGCTTTGTAATTTGGGATTTTGCTCATGGTAAATCTCCGCACACCAAACATACTAATAAACAAAATCAGCAACTTCCTTCTAAACGTCTAGCCAACCTAATGCACAACTGCAGAATTAAGAGCACAACACAGTACAATGTTCTAATGAGGTTGGGGAATCCTTTCATGTGCCAGAACCAATCTGACGCTTTTGCTAGCATATAGATATAGTGTCTCAGGTCCCATGCCCAGAAGTCCAGGTAGAGAAAGACTGTTTCTGAAGCAGAGATGCAGCAGCCAAGACCTTAGCCCAGTTCCTGAACAAGAATATTAGAAGTCAGAGACCACACTGTTTCCAGCAGAAGGAAAAAGCCACATTAGCAACTAACAATCAAGTAAGGAAACTAAAGTAGTGAGCTATAGAGCCACCTGTACGTCAGGAAGCATCCCTAGAAAGCAGCATCTTGTCCCTCTTCACCACACCCACAAATACAAAGACTGGGGCCACACATTTGGCTTTTAGGGGTGGGAGGCATAAAAGAAAAAAAATAGCAGGAACACAGCTTGCATAGAAGGCCTGTGTTGTGGTGCAGTAGTAAAAACAGGAATAGGGGGGAGCTCAGAGAAATGGTTTTTTGCACCAGGGCTGAGCTCTAACATTGAAGTCTGTTTCTGATTCCAAGCTTTGTTTTGCATCAAGCTTTCTTTGGTGGTATCCCTATGCATATGTTTTAAGACAGGGATAGTGAATTTGTGGCCTTCAGCTTTCCTTAGACTCCAATTGCCTTCAGCTCCAGGCTACATGAGCATTGATAAGGCTATCAGTTCATCACAATGGCTGCATGCCACCTTCAGTGCCAGAGACAGCATATCTCTGAATACCAGTCACTGGGGAAAAATAGCAGGAGTGGGCTTGATTACTGGCTTCCCTGAGGCATCCCACTGGCCACTATGAGAGAAGGACGCTGGATGAAACCCCCAGCAGAGAAAGGAGTAGCCGGAGGAACTGCAGAGCAGATAAAACTTCTTCCTGCACTGTATTTGCTGCTCCTACTGCTATGTTTGCATAAGAGAGCTGCTGGACCATTCTTGGAAAACGATACCCCTGCTCTAATTTACAGCAGCTGGCCTTGACACTGAAATTCTGGGTGTAAGTAGAGACCAATCTGATGACATATAACTAAGTAAATTAATCATCATCATCAGTGTTTTTTTCTGGGGGGGGGGGGTGCAGGGCCACGCATACCCCTAAACATTGTGAATCTTTGTACTTTTGTCCATTTACTATATCTATTTTTCCCTATTTGAACTATAAAATGGTGATTTTCTTGAGTCAAAATGAGAGTACCCCTAAACATTTTTTTAGGGAAAAAACACTGATAATAACACTAATAATATAATATGGCCTTTGGCCTTATCCAGTAGGGCTCTTCTCATGGTCAGAGAGAATCATGGGAATTGTAACACAACAACATCTGGGGAAGCACAGCGTTCCCACCCCTGGCCCTGCCCTTCCGCATGGCTTCAGAAGGGCTCCCACAATCCTCCGGGTTTCCCACAATCCTCCGGGGCGGCCCCCCTCCCCCGCTCGCAGCATCTACTCACCTTGCCGTCCGACCTCCGCCGCACCTTCTGGCACCTGCCGTAGGAACCGGCGCCGATAGTGAGAAGCACCTCGTAGTCCTCCGGGCGGCTCGGCATCGCTCCGCGCTCCGCGGCGGCCAAAGGACCCAAACACAGCGGAACACGCAGCCGTCCCCCAGCGCAAAAGACGTTTAAAAGACGCCGCGCCTGGCGCCGATTGGTCTGCCGCTGCCCACGCCCGCCCGCCCTCTTTCCAATTGGCTCGCGCGGCTGCCGAGGTCACGTGCTTCCCAACGGCTGCTCCTCTTTCCCGGTCGCTAGGCAACCGCAGCTGTCGCTGGCGCTCGAGGGCGGCGCGAGAAAACTTGGGGCTGAGGTATTTTGGGCACGCCGCTTGGGCACGCGGCGGAAGCGGATCCCAAGTTGCGCTTTGAGCGTGCCCTGCCAGTCAAAAGACGTCATCAGGCAGGCGACGAGAATGTATTTTTACCAAACCGAACAAACCCAAGAGTTGCACATAAATCATTACAGTACTTCTGGTTCCATATCGCAGGCATTCGACTCTTCAGGTGACCTAGTCGCTACCAGGGTCAGGATGGAATATAACTATATATTTATCATACTCCGAGTAGACCCACTGAAATGAATGAGAATGTCTGCTAATTTCAGTGGAGCTACTCTGAGCAGGACCCTGAAGACCCAGGGAACGCGAAACCCTTTTATTTTTAAATGACACCCTTAGCCTCTCATGGAAAGGCAAAATCAAGTGCATGTAGCAGAACATAAGAACTGAGCCAGGGTAAAGTGGACAGTGGGAGTTTATGAATCACTGTACTTTTGTATATTCTGCCACCCCTCTCTCCCTCTCCCTCCACCACCCTCATTTGTCTTTGGGGTGAATATAAACTGCTCTTAAATAATTTTAATGAGCTGTCGTTTATTGTTCCTTCCCATCACGCTTCCTTTCCATTTTTAAATCGTTTACGATATTCCTTGCATTAGCCAAAAGAGATATTCCCATTTTCCAGATAGGGAAATGAAGGCTGGGAGAGAGTCTCATGCTCCACCAACTGAGCTATGTGTCACGGATTTGTGATTTGTCCACAGTCGGACACAACACCGTTCATGGGACTGAAAATGGCTTTTAATTCCCAATTTCAGCTCCTAATTTCTTAAGGAATTCATAAGAAATTAGGAGCTAAAGTTTTGCATTTAAGCAGACCTGGCTTAGATGCAAAGCTTAGAACTGCAGAAAGAAGAGGGACGATGCACTGGGAAACAAACCAAGAATTTGGCAGTTTGCAGCTAAGTGGTTACATCTCTGAAGACTCTTTGCACTTTTTGGTATCATTGCAATCATCAGAGGAGGGGATTTTAGCCACTTAACCTTGGTTTGCTGCTAATATACTATGGTAGGTTTTCAATCATTGCAAGTCGATATCCCAAAAGTAACTCGTGGTATATATCCTGCAAAGGGGGCACAAGAATGTTCTATTGGGGAATATTTGGGAGTAGTCTGTAAGGTGGTTCGGTCATACTGACTTCAGTCAAACAGATTTACTGTATTTACTCGAGTCTAATGCGCCATCAAATCTAATGTGCATCTCAGCTTTCAGAACTTTGAAACAAACAAACAAAATTATTTGCTGGCCATCGAATCTAATGCACACCTTAATTTTCACAACATAATTTGGCCAGAAAAAGTGAGCATTAGATGTGAGTAAATACGGTAAATGCAATCACTTTGGGACTTAATTAATTGTGAATTGAGGTGAAAATCTGAAAAACTGATCTCTTGAAAAATAATGTTAATGAAACCTTTTCTGGTTTAATATTGGATGCTGTGCTACAACATTTCCATTAGATGGCACTTGGCCATCACTTCTGATATTGAGGGAAAACAGCAAAATTGGCACTTGCAGGATTTACAGATTTATTGTGGCATGAATTTTTGTGAACTCGTTTTGTTAGATGTACTGTGTCCCTTTACACATGTGTGAATATCTCACCTACACAGAGTGGAAAGTGAGGTCAGAATGACATGAAATATAAAAGGCACAGATCATCTGTGACATTCTATGGAAAAGCTAAAAGCACAAAAGATGAATGCACAGTGAGTCATTTACAACAGCAGTCATAGGTCTTAAAACCTGTCTTTTCAACTGCTTTGCTGTTTTAACACCTTTGGCCATGTTAGCACTGTGCAATTGACTGAAGTTGTGAAAGGGTTACTGTGCTTACATCTAACAGTTTTCAAACTTTTATTTACCATGATCCATCTGAGATCTCAGTGTATCACAACTTTCTTTGTTTTACAAATCAATTCATGTATGTAACTTATTTAAGTAACTATACTTTAGTCTTTCTAATTCAATGGATGAAGAAAAATAAAACAGCAACATTCCATTACGCCCCTTCAGCACTGAGAAAGGCCTCTTTTAACTGGACTCTAGGCAGTGTTGGTCTGTTTGATAATCCAGACCTGCTTAAAACAGCCTTGATATATTTTCCTATTAAAAAATCAAATAGAGAACTAGGTACGGATATTATTGACTGCTTCACAGCCTTTTTGTGGTCCACCTGAATGAGACTCATGCTCCAGAGTTTGAAAACCTCTACATTGGCATGGTACAAAAATACCACAAACCCTTTTCAGCTCCTTGCTAATTACCATTCACCCCTTTGAATCCATGTGTATATTATATCTGCCAAAGGCAGTGGGGGAGGGTCCTAATCCACAAAAACTGCTACCACAATCAGGATTGCAATCTTATACACACCTGGGGGTAAGTCTCTTTGAACTTATTGAAGTTTACCACTGATGAGACATCCTTAGGATTGCAGTGTAAATCTGTTTAGTCTTTAAGATGCTATAAGATCCTGAGCTATTTGTCTTCTGGAAATGATCCATAAGGCAAGATGAAATACATATCAAAGCTTCACATTTCATAGCTGAATAGCTTTGTGCATTGATTGGGTTAAAATGCTTATCCGGTAAAAAAATAAAATAAAAAAATACATAGCATACTTGCTGCCATGCTGCAGCTTTAACACATATGTGTTTGTATTATTAACATACATCATAAATGATCAAATTTAATTAAATATATACTAACAAATATCAGTGATTCTCTTAAAAATTACTTTTTCAAACAGAAAATGTCTGTATCACATTTGCTGTTTAAATTTATCGCAATTTGTTTCCAGGAGAATGAAAGTTCATAATAACATATATTGGAATAAATTAGATAGTGACATATCTCAATCTCAGCCAAACAATACTGCTGTGTCTCCTTCCTGAATTATGTATGGGGTTTGTGTGTCTCCTTGTTGCAGCATTCCCAGAAGCTATGTGAAAATATTTGTGAAATGTAGCCTTGAATTCATAATGGCCTGATTCAGACAATTTCCCAAAGCCTGGACCCATGCCATGAAGTATTTTTTAAAAAACAAAAATTCGCAAACCATGATTAGAGCTTTTCCTCCAGGCAGAATCAGAAACCCATGGGGAAGGCAGAGCCATAACTACGGGAGGGATATTGAGGTTTTTTTGCCCTGGGCGAAGCCTCCAGAGGGGCATCATTGAGGCTCCCAGCCAGTATGTGCATGGGTGGGTGTGCCAAATTGGGTCTTTGACTTGGGTGAAATAAAGCCTAATTTCACCCCTGGGGAAGGGCTGCAGCTCACTGCTAGCACATCTGCTTTGCATGCAGAAAGTCCCAGGTTCAGTATCTTCAGGTAGAGCTGTTAATGGTTCCACTGGAACCATGGAGAGCCCCTGCTCAATGGTCTGATTCAGTATAAGGCAGACTTCTATGTTCTATTAAGTTCAATAAATTGCATTCCAAAACAAGGGTCCTTCAGAGTACAGCTTCAATTATGCTAAAGGATGCTCTTGCAATATTTTTATGAAGCCGGGAAGGCTGTAATTCTACGCATGGGTATTTGGAGGCAAGCCCTTCTGAATGCAGTGGGATTGACGTTCCAAGTAAGCATGCATAAGGTTGTGTTATCTGTGTGTTGCTATTATTGCCTACAGCTGTGGTCCTGAACTCATTTTCTTGGAAGTAAGTTCTTACTGGATGAAGGCCCTTATGTTAATTATTGTTATAGGTTAGCACCTCCACACGCCCATGCTCAGCTGGCTGGAGCGTGGTGCTGACAACATTAAGGTTGCAGGCAGTGCTATTTTTCTAGGAAAAGAGGTGCCAGAACTCACGAGGAATGTCTCCCTTGTTCTCTTATAATGGCAATAGCACCCACCTGAGAGGTGTCGGAACTGAGTTCTGGCTGGAAAAAACCCTGGTTGCAGGTTCGATCCCCGTAAGGGACAGCTGCATATTCCTGCAATGCAGTGGGTTGGACAAAATGAGCCTCAGGATCCCTTCCAATTCTATGATTGTATGAGATGTCTATGCGTGTGTGTGTGTGTGAGAGAGAGAGAGAGAGAGAGAGAGAGTGAGTTTGGGATATAAGGTTATAATTCTGTTGTTTAAATGCTTTCAGACAAAAGTTGTTCCAACCACAGATCACATGCTTGGGCAGAAATCCTAAATACGCATACTCGGAAATGAAATTTGCTTCAAAGTAATTCCTTTAGGAGTGGCATGTTGAAGCAGTAATTGCACCAAGACCCAGAGCATGGCCATAGCAATTTGTTCAAACCTTAACTGCCACTCAGTTAAAAATAGTTTTCAATTTCACAATGTTGAGAACATGAATCGCACATTTCAGATTGTCTTTGAAAGGAAGAACTTAAAAGGTTTCTTGGTTACTGTTGCATTGCTGCAGCTGGGTAATGAGTGAATCATTGACAATTCTGGTTATAGTGACCTTACAGAAAGGAGGATTCTCTTACATTATTAGCATCATAAATAGGCAGTGCCATTAGACAATGGAATTACAAAAACAAAACTTTACCACATATACCTGTCAGGTTAGATTAAATTGTAATTGTCAACTTCAAATATACAGCTTTAAACGTCTCCCATGCAACAGAATCTCAAGTGTGATTACTGTATTTTTTGCTCTATAAGACTCACCTTTTCCCTCCTAAAAAGTAAGGGGAAATGTGTATGCGTCTTATGGAGCGAATGCAGGCTGCACAGCTATCCTAGAAGCCAGAACAGCAAGAGGGATTGCTGCTTTCACTGTGCAGCGATCCCTCTTGCTGTTCTGGCTTCTGAGATTCAGAATATTTTTTTTCTTGTTTTCCTCCTCCAAAAACTAGGTGCGTCTTGTGGTCTGG